CCAAAGAGGTATCACATCCAAGTTATACACCACTATTTATGGTTATCCTACTTACCGTCCTAGGTTTCGACAGGAATTCAACACTGCCGTTATCCTGCAGCTCCAGTCGAGCAAGCACCATGTGACTAAAAAACCAATCGGGACCCTGTCTCACGGCCATCAGAAGGCCATTTCCGCCATCTTAGTAGGGTGCGTTGAGTGATTGGCTTCGTGCTTGCCAGCTTTTTCCTGATATAAACTCTTTGTAGGTCCCACTGACATTCGTATTCCACAAATTCCACTCAGCTATGCCACATTTATCATGCTTGCCTCGCTAGTCGCTTGTTTGTTCTATCACGTTTATTGTTTCTGGCGTTTCGGTGCGTCGATCTGTTTCAGTAAGCATATTTTCCACATGCTTACCAGACAGAATGTATTTATTCTTCTTATAATTTTAATTTTATGTACTTTTAGACCTGTTCTTCCCTTGGTCGAGGCTGGTTGACCGTTAGAAATCCTGTTATGCTATCTGTCCTGCCTATTTCCCGAATTCCTCCTACATTGGCTGCTTTTATCTTGTTGTTTAGGAAGTTGGTGCAAATGTCAGCACGTTCCACTGCTGCTGGGAGTCTGCTAAGGAGAATGCTGCACTTATCAAATAAAAAAACAAATAAATTCTTTATTCTCACATCAGTAAGTTAACATGAGAGAAGGCGGGTTACAGGCGTCATCACAGTGATGCACGTCGAAAAATCCACAAGATTTGACGAGCCCTAAATAGTACAGTCGGGATGTCACTAAACTCTATCAAACACAGCAGAAAATCCTGCTAGTTAAGAGACAAACAAGAAAATATCTCTTTTCAGCGTATGCAGAATGTTAGAGCTGAGATAGCAATAAAAGTTGTCCTCATATAATGGATTGAATCTTACATAGTAGATCTAACAGGGGATACCAGGTTACAAGCACCATCAAATTGGTAATCCTTGAAAGTTTACAAAATAGTATTTGGCACTATATAATTTACATACCAAATCATCGGCCTACATGATCTTATTAAAGCTTGCTGAAATTCGCTAGGCAGGCGTGGATTTTTAACCCCCATCACACCAGTAGGAACAAAAGCGTGCAACGTTCAGAGTTTGCCTCATAACCAGTCGACGTTGCTAGTTCACCTGCATAGTTTTGTTATTTAGTAATATAACCGTCTGTCCCCCAGAAAGTTCTTCAGTTTTTAGCTTTTCTAACCACAAAGGACCCATTTATACAATCTGGAGTATCGGTTAAGTATCTACAGCTATGTAATCTAGGTGAGTGTCTAAATCAAAGCACTTCCAGGTCACCCTGTTACGGTTAAATGTATCACAGATTAATTTCACTGGGAATACTTGTTGTGGTGGGTGGAAATAGACGTTGAAACGATCGATACCCCATATTGCAGTATTGATGCATAGCCTTCAGACATCTTTCGTATTTGCATGAACAGCATAATTTGCGGAGGGTATTTGATGCATGGTAACTTTCATTTGAAAGGGCCGCATGATAAAGAGTGACAGAAAGCTCTTACTGCAGGGTACCTGCGAGTAAGTCACCTCCCGAACCAGTGGATAACTTGATCTCTGACTTCTTTGTTTGCCCGGAATATCTCTGTTACTATAACCGGTTCGTCACTTGGAGAATCCTGACCAGTAGGTGAGCCAATCGTGAATATGCTCCATAAAACGCGAAGGATTAGGAGCGGTCTAATAATTCTTCGAGCTAATCAGTTGTAATCAGATTGAAATTCAGCATCAAATGTCCTCATGGAGCTGTTGCCGCAAATGGGAAAAAGAAGAAGCACGAGCAGATATGGTAAAGGGAATTACTATGCAGTCCAGCTGGGAAAAGAGAGAAGCTCCTATACTTTTAGACCCATTCGAACTTCATGCATGTTTTCGCGTACGCGTGTGTGATCAATTACATAGTTTTTTCATTATAAGGGTCTTAACGACACATTCTGCCCTGCCAAACACAGTAATCAAAAACAGAAATTCTACACTACATGACAGCATGAAATCTACATTTTCATGTACTTTATAGAAAAAGCACATACCGTGAATGCCACAACAAGGAAAGTTAAGTAGGGAGAAACATGATCATAGAAAGCACTCTCCTTGTTGAAATTCTCGCTTTCTCCGCCTGCTGCTTTTTCTGTTTGTTTTTCTCGTTGTAAAAAAATAAATCAGTTCTAAACGTTGGCTTTGTTGCCATTGAGAGTTAATTACTTAAGGAACAGACCATGGCTGAAACTATCCTTTTTGGAGGGTAAGCAGTTTACCACGTTCAGAATACCTAACTACAACAAGCAGAAATAAAAATGTTCACTGGACTACAACTTCATCATTCTCAAAATCCAGGACTAACTGGCAAAGTTCAACACTTACCTACTGCAAGGCTTTCATGACCCATGAAAACGGTGGACAAGATGTTCTGGAAGTCCATTTGGTGCATTCAAACAAGTCTATTGCTTCTGGATGCTGGAGTTGGAAGTGAAGATATTTGGCTTTCAGTCATAATATTCATCAAGATTATGAATCTTTGTTGTGGAATGGTGCTAACATGCATGAATTATACAGTCCTGGAATCATAAATGAAGTACAATATGTAAACAATCCATGCATACATTCACTCATAAACTTTTCATCACTATCTCAAGCAAAAAGTGCAAAGCTGTTACAATAGAAGTATTAGCTTCAAGCTTTATTTTTCTTCAAACAATACCTGTAGTGTCTAGACACAAACCTGGTTTTTCTTGTTAATGCGAAGACAGTACTTCCACTTGTCCAACTTGTAGATTTTCTGCATACTTATTCTGCTGGGATGTTCCATTATATGAACATGCAGCACTTATACATCCTAGTGACAACGGGTGGGGATTGAGCCTACCTTTCATGAAGATACATGTGATTTATATAAAGACTCATTCATACCTGTAAAAATGGTGTGTGCCGTATTTGCCGGAAAAAACAATTAATAAAACTTCTTTTCTGATCTTTCCGGAGTTTCGGAGCGATTCGCTCAGGGCGGTAAATAGTCGACTCATATGGCTGCGTTCGGGGAAACATTTAGTTGTTCACTTCCTAGAAAAGTGTTCTCTGCAGCTAAAATGATTAAAAGAAAACTGTGGCGATCAGCTGGTAATTGGTTTTTGTCCTGCATGTAGGCAGACAGACAGATACGTTGTTGCAAGGGGCGCGTAGAAGAGCGTGAGTTTGGTGGTGACCACGAGAATCTGGGTGTGAAAAGTGGAAGATAAAACGCGAGCCGAAGACTCAGCAAGTACTCAGGATGTACTCAAATCTAATAACAAAGGAAAACTGACGACGATGAGGTGGGACAGTCTAGAAATCGAAACTGGGAGGTGAATGAATTGGATTTTGAATGCGTTAAAGCTTTTGAACTGAACAGTGTGCCAAAGAGGGGATTTATGGACGATTTTAAACTTCAGCTGGCCCACTACGGGGAGTTGTTGGCATATAACTGTCATCTGTCAGTTGCACATAATACCTTTCCTTCAAACATACCGCCAGTTGTTTCCGTAGGACACTTCGCTCACGCTCTAAGTGCATCATAGGGCAGATAATGCATTAACTCCAAGTAGACATGTTTTCAAATATAATATTAAATCTCAAATTTTGAATCATATTGAGGAGTATTAGTGGACATTACCGTAAACTCGGGCCAAATCTTTCCACACTAGCTGCTGGCGGAAGGTATCCTGCCATTACCATGGTTCTCATCCTCCTCATATGGCCATTAAAAATCATTAAGGAAAACAATAGTGATAATAATGCTCACTTCTGTGACAAACTTGACCCCAGTTCCATTTAATCAAGAAAATCGCACACAGAGTAAGCAGTATTGCACGTAGCGAGCAGACAACTAGATGCCCCCACCCAGAAAAGCCTTCTGAAGCTGTAATGGACCAAAATGCGACACCACAAAGGGGTTCACAACGTCAGTGCAACATTACACTTGAAGAGATGCACGGACTCCTGGAGAAAGTTCAGGGGCGGGCCAGGAAGTTCACCCTAGAGATCCGGCAAAACTGTGGAGGGGTAGGTTAAGGGAAGTGGAGGTCTATTTTTTTGGTTGCCAAACATTATGCAGTGACTTGATTATAGCCTACAGGTTAGATTCGAGAAACGTTTAGATAATTAGGGGGCGATACATGGTTTGGACTCATCCTCTTGGGATGCAGACCATGCAGAAAAAGCCAACTGATTCCTCAGCATTCCAAAGCAGGCATCTCCACGTTATTTCTCTTTTGATGCCACGATTATTATGAACTCTGCTCAATCCGATAATTCCCTAATGGATGTCTTAGTTCTCCAACTACAATTTCACTGCGAATATCTTTTTTCCGTCTCCATTATCTTTATCTTTATCGCCATCCTCCTCACTCGATACCCTCCCTTTAACTTCCTATGGCTTCATCCTATTCGTCAAGGTTTTCTGTATCACTGTTTTCTTAACTGCCTTCTAATTTACCTGGGGTTAATCTTTCCTATCACATCGTTTGCTTGCTCTTACTCTCATTAGTTCGTCTCTTTCGTTCCCTTTATTTATCTTTTTGCCCCCTTATCTTCCTCCAGATGAAGATTTTACGGCTCTTATGCTCGATACTTTCAAAATAAGTCGAAAGGTCTGGTCAGATTCTGACAGTAAGGAATTTATGTCACCTAGGAGTCCTCTGTCCGCTTAAAAACCATGTTTTTAGCAGTGCTGGAGGAAAAATACTTGAAGAAAAGTGGAATTCTTGTCCCTTCTGGTTTCTTTGCATTTCAATATCCAATATCCTGATGTAAACCAGATGGTTCCTTCGCTCTCTCTTCCAGGTCCTGCGGAACTGTTCCAGGTAGACCAAGACTCGTGAAAAACACTAAAACGAGAGTGTAACATTGATGTAAAAAAAATAATCATACACCGTTAGGTGGACGCAATGTCGAAGAGTAATTGTTTAGTCATACTTGTTTGGAAACGCGCTAATAAGTTGGCTACTAAAGGTGCGCACATTGTGAGTATTGAAGACTTCCCATGGATAAGGCTGGAACTTGTTGCCAGGTTTTATAGTGTTATATGAAAAATTAAGTTTTTTCTGTTTTGTAAGCGTGTACTTTGAAGTGAGAACTGCAATCACAAATTCTTTTCGCTGGTTTGAAAGCTATGCTTATTATACATATCGTTCACGTTTCATTACCGCTTGTATGTGTATTACAAATCAACTATATAGGAACGATCAACAGAAATAATTGAGAAACTTAAGGGACACCCAAAACTTGGTGAGTGCATTTGGAGCAAATGCTGGCTGGTTGTATTACACCTTTCCCAATAGATTTATATACCCACTCCTGTATTGGATAAGTCGGTTAGCAATTGATTCCTGAACGTCAGGAACGTCGTGTTGAGGTCGTTACTCCTAGGTTGAATTGGTCGTCACAGAGACCATACAGGTGACTTACCTTTAAACTTCCTCTATGGAGTCTGAGTTGCCTTGAGAAAAAGGTTGCCACGTTTGCAAAGTTATGAAGTTCGGGTCCACCTAGGGATGTTTGCAAGGTGGTGAGCATGTCACTGATCCCAGTTGAGGTCCACCTGTTGTGCTACCAACAAGCAACCGATCCATGCAAGTAGATTGCCAACAATTACCTAACTTCCTTGTCTTATGAGTAACCTGATGTGGTGTCTTGTTAACTATCAAGTTTTAATGGGTTTATATTGCATACATGACTTTGAATAATTGGGAAGATGCACTTGTAGTTCATCATCACCTTTTTCCAATCCCTGTTAAACTTGCGAACTATCCCTCCTTTCTTGTAACTGAAGGCGAAAACCTGGCTCGAGTTTATCTTTCAGATGAACATTCTAGTGGAAAGAAGTATGTCTTACCTATCATAGTTCAACCCTGTTATTCAAATATTGAGGCAACATACTTGGTAGCGGAATATATATATATATATATATATATATATATATATATATATATATGTTGGCGTAGACTACTAATTCGAAAGAACTGAACTGACTTGTCTCTTTCGTATTATCCTCTCTTCAAGCACTTACTAACTGCTGTTTGGATACATTGAAAGTAGAATTCTACCGAAAACTGTTCGGCCTGCTACTAAAAGTCAAACGTTCAAATGCTGTAGCAGGAAACTTCACTAGATAGGTAGGAAGGCTAAGTTAGGTAGAAAGGCACTTTCAGAACCAGCCGAATGGGAAATAGCGAAAGCATCCAGCAAAGTCGTGGATGCTCGTGAGGTAGGCAATGAGCCATACCCACTTTGTGAAGGCCAAACTTCGGTAGGTGGTCTGACGCATGACACACTGTTCGAACCTACTGAATAAACCAATGCGCCACAGACGAATTAAGAGAAATTGGGGTCACTTCACATTGTCGTACTCAGAAAATTCCCTATTTTCGGGCAGTAAAACTTCAAATATGAAGAAAGACATTGTCTGATGTAGTGTTCACTGACAAGACGGTGAACAGAGATAGACCACGTGTTTACTAGTTATTGCTCGAGCGGGTCAGTGCAAGATTGCTATTCCTCCTGCAGCATGTGTTCGGATAGTGGTCACGTTACATCAAGCATGATTATACGGGAAAACCACGACTAGGAGAAATTCGCCGAGCTCAGCTGAGTAATAAATATACTAAGACTGCTTTCAAGTAGGGACTGTATAGGCAATTATCAGCAGGGAAAGTCCAGTCGTCCTGGAGACTGACGCTGTCTCCAATATAAAGTAAAAACAGCTTTAGAAACTTGAAGTAACTCAGTGGATCTCAGCAACTTCGGGATCAATGAGTGCACGTGAATGAGTTCATACAAGCTCTGAGAAAAATTAGGAGTGGAAGCAACTAGGAAGTAAACTGACAAAAAATTTACCCAGTGATCGTAAACAGCTGTAGATATCTAAGTTTAAGGAGAAAAGAAACAGCGTCTATAGTTAGCAGCAGGCAGTTATCCAGAATTATTTACCGAAAAAAAGTGAAAACTTGGCAAGTGAGAACAAGCGGAAAAAAGGTCACCAATCCAATAACAGGAGAGTGAAGTGAAACTTCGAGGAACAATTCAACTGGCTTACAGCTGCTTTCTATTTTACGGCTATCCAGTTACATCCTCAATCAAGTATTAGGGGCCACTAAGTTAGGTGAAGTAATCTAGAATGGTGGATGGAAGTAGACTCTGGTAGACCAGTCCTACAAGTAGTTAAGGGTGGTGTGCTGGCTGTATTTGTTAAGTTGACTATTGGCTAATGCATAAGAATCATCTATAATCCCTTCTAGCTGATTTTAATGGCCCGTTGTCGCAGTTCATAAGAAATGGGAGAGGTCCTATCGTATCTGCGTGAAATCAGTTTGACGGATAGTATTTTGAGTCCTCTGTTTTATCATCATCAGATGCATGTGAAGCTCGTGAACAACAAAACCGAAGAAACGAGGTAGGTTTCAGCCCTGATTTTGACTATATCGAACAGACACCCTCAGTCAACTTATAAAACACGGATGCTTACTCCATATATTCGTGATGTGAAAATGGTATTCAAATATGTTAAGAGACTTCAAGGCGGTCTCATGAAGAAAGCACCGAGCAAGTGCATCACTAAGCTGAAGGCTCTGCATTCATAAACCTATGGATGTATCGGGGTCTATCGTGAGGTATCAGGTGAGTTGTGTACACTGAGTGGTACCCACCAAAAATTTTCTCCTTCCATCCTTCATTTTGTGACAGGAGTGTTAGCGGATGTCACTCTCGTCATCTGACTTTCCAGAGATTAACCTTGTCACAGGAGACTCGTTAATGCTACTTGAAATAGTCGTGTTTGGTGGGTATGACGACAAAACGCACAGCCGTCTTCATAAGTTGAGTAGAAATTTAAGAATGTTTGGGAGGCAGTCTTCACCACCCAAACGCGAATTATTGCTCAACATGTGGTCGGCGTTGAGTGCTTCGTCCACCATTCGGGAGTGAGGTGGTTTGGCTTTTTGCTCACTTCACCTACTTGGGAGGGTGGTGCGCCAGTGACCAACCAAGTCTCTGTACACATCAAAAATGCTCACTTCGCCTTTGCAAACTCATTCCATTTATGGCGCTGCAGTGAACAGCAATTCCCACTTGTTTGGTGGTCTATTCCTACGACAACGAAATTTAGAAATTTGGCTTTTAGCTGTAGCCGGAACAGTACTCGCTAGAATTCCTCTTTCATTTTATCCAAACTACAGTCAGTGAATGCGTAGCATAGGTTAACAATAGAAACAGACGCATGTTTATAAATAAAATATATTTTGTAAAATCCCAATAAAGCAGAAAAATAATTTTCTGACGTTACGCGACTTCGTGGAAATCGCTTCTTCGGAGAATAAAACCTGTACAAGTTATCGATAGTTAAATAGTAAAAGGTGACGAGTCAGATCACGTCTATGCTATGCATGATAATAATATGAACGTAAATATCAATGTTATGTTGGTCAGGAAGCGTTCACAATTTGTGTGTTTATCTGTTAATTATTCTGGAGTTCAAGGTGATATGAATATGTGCACATATGACTGGGTGTGAAGGTGTAAGAAAAATAATTATTATGTATGGTAATGGTGAGCAGTGGCTAGCAGTGGAATCCAGGGTGCGCATCAATTCGGTCCAATCAACGACGGTGTCATACAAGCAGTAACACTAAAAATAATAATTAATAAGCAATATGGATAACAAATTCGGTCTGTTTGTGTGTATATACTTTTGATCAAACCATTGTGTGACGTGTTGTTTTTGGAAATACTCTCCAGGTTGGTTGTATAGTCAGACCTTCCTTTCTGTTAAGTGCATTAGTATTCAACATAATGTAAAATGCCATTGCTATTCTTCTTCCTTTGTAGTTTGAAAATCCTTTTTGAATCATTTCAATATTTTCGATACCGATTTTGTGACTGTGATAGATGATAACGTGAACTGCGATCGCCGACTCGATTTGTCAGTTCTCTAGTTCTACAGGGTTATTTGGCGGTCATTTTGTGTAACTTGCGTGTTCTTTAGCCCTAATGAGGATCTTACGGGATGATTCTCCAATATAATAGGCATCACAGTCGACACAGCCTAGTTTGTAGACACAATTTTGTGTGGAGGTAAAAGGAACTTTATCTTTTTACGTGGACTAGAGCATTCCTGAGAGTGTTGGTTGTCTTGTAAAAGGTCCTAGTTCGGTGCTTTCTCAAGATTCTTTTTAGCTCTCCGGTTGTACCTTGGCGGAATGGTAGAACTACTGTACAAATCCAAGAATTATCATTTGGATTTCCTCTTGGGTCTCCCTGTTCATGTTTCTGGACCTTTCGAATGACATTATTAGGGTAGTTATTGGAATATAATACATCTAATATATTACTCACTTCCGTTTGCCTGTCATCATTCGTGGTGAGCTTTGTGGCTCTCCTGAATAAGCTCCGAGCAAGTAAAAGTTTAGCACTGAGTGGATGTGCTGAGTTGAATGTGTTGGTTTACGGTAAATCGATAAACTTGGACTTCTGTTTTCATTCCTTTTAACCAAACAGTCTAGGAATGGTAGTTCACTGCTTGCATTTTCATGTTCTTATGTTAACTTGATATGTGGAGAATAAGTATTAATTAATTTCGAAAAGCTTCTGAGACCAGATCTTTTCAAAATTGCGAATTTATCATCTACGTATCTGAGCCAAATACGTGGTTTGATGGTGTTCGAAAAATGATTCAATGTGGGACATGAAAAGGTTTGCAACGATAGGGGACACCAGAGAATCCATAGCTACTCCACTAGTTTGCTTGTATAGTTTTCCTCTAAACGTGAAAAGTGTCAACTTTAAACAAAAGTTGAGTGCTTTCATGATGAGGCTGGGGTTCAAGGGAGATCTATCTGCCAACGTGTGATCACATTCTAGTAATTCACTTATGAACTCTAACAATTTTTCAATGGGAATACTAGTATACTATGAAACATCATAACTTACCATTGTTTCATCCTTCGCAATAGATAATTCCGATATTTTTGAATTGTATTCATAAGAGTCTTTAATTGAGTTGATAATACAGCGTTGGAGAGGCTTTAATAATGATGCTAGATATTTAGATAAAGCATATGTTGGGGAATTTGTAAAGTCTACTACCAGTCTCAGAGGGACATCGGGTTTATGAATTTTCGGTAATCCATAGAAACGTGATGAAGTGCATGATTTTTGGATATAGGGAGAACCATAATAAGTCTCCGATGAAAGGTTTCAGTTCCATTAATATAGGTGTAGAAATTGGCCACTATGGTAGAATTTTTATTCCATATTAGATTTGTTTATTTGATTTATAACACACAGTGGTATGATTATGAGCAATAATTGGTACTCAAAACGTCATCAAGTAAATAATACTATATCACTGTATTATAAATCAAATAAACATCTAATAAGATTTCAGTTCCTTCAAAAGTTGACCTGTTTCTGTTATCATCTTGTTCTTCGTTGCTTGGCACTTTTTTGACTCAATTTCTTCATAGGGACCGGTTGAAAGATGCTCATGTGCTTTACGGTCATAGTCAGTTTTGTTCATAATCACTGTTACATTTCCTTTATCTGCCTTGTTAATTACAATTGTTTTATCCATTCGTAGGTTTCGGAGGGCTGGTATTTCTTCTTTTGAAATGTTTGGCGGCATATATACTTGCTTTTGTAGAATGTAGGAAGCTTTCTGACGTACAATGCGAGCGTCCTTATCTGGTAGTTTTTCGATCACTGATTCGATGATGAGTGTTTTCCTGTTTAAGTCTAAGTTCAGGCCTTTCAAGCACCCTCAAAGTGGCAATCGTCATCGAACCAGTGATCGAAAAACTACCAGACAAAGACGCTCGCATTGTACGTCAGAAAGCTTCCTACATTCTACAAAAGCAAGTATATATGCCGCCAAACATTTCAAAAGAAGAAATACCAGCCCTCCGAAACCTACGAATGGATAAAACAATTGTAATTAACAAGGCAGATAAAGGAAATGTAACAGTGATTATGAACAAAACTGACTATGGCCGTAAAGCACATGAGCATCTTTCAACCGGTCCCTATGAAGAAATTGAGTCAAAAAAGTGCCAAGCAACGAAGAACAAGATGATAACAGAAACAGGTCAACTTTTGAAGGAACTGAAATCTTATTAGATGTTTATTTGATTTATAATACAGTGATATAGTATTATTTATTTGATGACGTCAGAAAATTATTTTCTGCTTTATTGGGATTTTACAAAATATATTTTATTTATAAACGTGCACCTCTTGTATGCATTCACTGACTGTAGTTTGGAGAAAATGAAGGAGGATCTCCGCCGATGTTCTCGGCGCCGCGTACCTTCGGAAATTCGGGAGTGGAGGAGGAGGAGATGGGATTCCGCCAGGTGTACTCAAAACAGTTGCAGAGACCACAGCGGACAATCTCAAGCCACTTTTGTAGACGGTTTGGAAGGTCTGAAGTAGAGGTACTTGCGAAGTTATTTGAAGAAAAGCTGCCTTGTAAAGCTCTCAAAGAATGTCAGTTAGGTAAGACCATCATTCGGTGTAGCGTATGAAACTTAGGCCAATTGAATCAGCGAAGTGAAGTAGTTATCGCACATTTCTTCGCAATATACAGTTGAATATCGTGCGAAATTCCATGAAATCCGAACCAAGTTAAAGCTTTTAAACACCGAACTAGACCATGCGCAGAAAAAACGCTTAATACAATATGAAACTTAGGAAATATACCTTATGGTTATCATTTCCCTACGTCTCCTAGTAGGATAAAAACTAATTTTCTATACCAGTATTGATCTCGCACTTTTTCGATGCTGTTTATACAGCCTCATTCTGATTGCTTTCCTCAAAGGATAGCAGTGAATAAATCAACGAATCCCCATGATTACTATAGTAATTAGTGTCACCCTTCTATTTCCAAACTCATATAGGCGGAGCGATGATATATATATATATATATATATATATATATATATATATATATATATATATATATATATATATATATATCACAATAAAAGTTGTTGAATTTGAAAAGTTGATCTCCTTTGGTTTTTTTAAAAACTCGACAGTCCACCCCCAAACAACGTAGAAAGTTGCAGCATTTGTCGGTGTAGGTTACCACTGACAAGTGGGGTTTAAAAGCTATCACGGTCTAACACAGATGATTCATGTGACGTGGATACTTGACACGAGTTGATTAGAAACAATTTTCCAAACCGTCGAACCAAATATACTACAAGTTTTTCTAACCTTTTTGTGCTTTGATTTCTTTTCCTTGTAGGTAATCGAAAATGACTATGAGTCTTTCTGAATGTGATCCTGAAATTATGGCATTGTGCAAAGAGGAAAAAGAACGTCAACGACTTGGATTGGAATTAATAGCTTCAGAGAATTTTGCTAGTAAAGCAGTCTTGCAAGCTTTATCCTCTTCGTTTCATAACAAGTATTCTGAAGGCCAAGTGGGCACTAGGTTAGCCTAATAATATTTTATCAACATATTATTATTGCTTCTATTAACCTTTTCGATCATAAAAGTGTAGTCCCAATGAATCACAATTTGCTCTGAGTTTCCATCTCTGGGCAGTTATTTATACAGTAGATGAACTAGAGATTCCCGAATGTTTAATATTGGGGTAGTTCCTCGTGCTAGGCTAAACAACGAAGTCCTGCTGTTCCAGTGACGCTTGCACATTTGCGTTACCAGCTCATGTAACTGCATGCTTTTATTTTTTATAGCAACAAAACTAGTTGATAGCAAGTAAAGTAGTTCAATTCATTTGCATTGGATTTCCTAGTACTGAATATGCACAACAACAACAACCTTTGAAAGAAACAGAGTGTCATGAGCTTCAATCATCATCATCAATATAAATACAAGACCAGGCATTACTGCGTAACGGTCCAAGTTGCCACAGCTCATATCAGTACATCAAGTAAAAAGGCAGTGAGGTGCAAAATGAAGATAAGAAAATTCAGTCAGAAGAAACACAATGTACGAAAAGAGAGAAAGGAAGATTGAGAAAATGGTGAGATTTGGTATAGCATCGTTAAGATGAGAATAATGTGTGTATACATCTGCACCACTGACTTCGGTTCTCAGCCATGTCATCACCTAGAGTCTGTCTCCAACCACTGGTTCCTCTTGTCCCGCCAACCACAACCACCCAGTCTACATCGCCCCACATGGCTCAAACCAACAGTCACAGACTTCATACATTGGTGCCATGTTTTAGTCTGGCCACCTTGGACCTTTCTTCACCCTGAACCTACTTCGGCCAACATTGTGTGACGACGAGGTAATCGTTACTCACGCGGTGACACCACGGAATACGCCTACACTACGAAGGCAACGGTGGTCAAACACCTGAAGCATTCTCATGTCTTCCACCTTCAACGGCCATGTTTCACAGTCATGCAGGAGAACAGAGGGGACTGCTGTGCAGGTGCAGCACACGTGACGCTTAATAGACAATCGGATATCACGGCGGCGCCATAGGTGGCGTAAGTTGGCGAAACCCAGCCGAGCCCTTTGTATCCGTGCAGACATTTCATCGGCCACTGAGCCACCAGGGTAGGGCTGATTCTACTTCCCAGGCAAGTAGTGAAGTGGCCGACACACTCAATCACTACGCTCTTTATTGTTAGTCGCGGTGGGGCACCGTCGAAGACCAATCGTGGGGCAACAATTTGCATTTGGGTGGTGAGGAACGCATCCCAAACATTCTCAAATTACCACTCAGTGTCCAGAAGACTCTGCATCATGTCAACGTCCTCACCTAACAGGACTATGTCATCTGCATACTCTAGGTCTAACGAAAACTTTCCACCGATTAGGTCAACCTCTGTGTAATCAGGTGACGAGAGAGAGAGAGAGAGAGTATCAGTGATAAAGTTGAATAAGAATAGAGACAGTGGGCACCCTGACAGACACCACTCGATGAGCATAGCTCTCTGAACATCTCACCATAGGCTCTAACACACCCACAAGTGTTCGAGTAGAGAGCCTTCAATTAGGTGATGTACTTACTCGGCACGCATTTCAGTGAGAGACATCGCCATAAGACATCTCGATCAACGGAGTCAAATACCACCTTCAGATCGAGAAATACAGCTGTTGTCGAGCGTCAGTAAGCGTGCTTGTGTTTTTTCAGAAGCTGACGTAGAGTGAATATTTGATGGATGAACCTGCGGCGGGTGTAAAGCCTGCCTGGTTTTCTCGTGTTTTCTGTTCCCGAGCTTCACTGAGGTGTGAGAGATTAGAGAATTTAGGATCTTGGACACTTCGTCAAGCTGATTCGTCTGTGGTTATCACCAGAGGACTTCTCGCCTTTCGTGAAAACTGGAATAATCAATAATTTAGACCAGTCAGAGGAGATCGTATATGATTCCCATACACTAGTTAGCACTTCCGTTAACCTGATTAATAGCACCTTACCACCATGCTTGTATACCTTTGGAGTTAGTCCATCTGGTCCTGCTGCCCTTCCTCGTTTCAGGTTATCTACTGCTTTCTCAACTTCTGCTAGTGTTTTTGGGGTGCCTATCTCAATGTTCGATTCAGGATGCGACTGGATAGCGGGCAACTCAATGGTGGCTGGAGGCCAGTTAAACTGTTCCTCGGAGTGTTCTTCCCATCGTTCTAGTCGTTTACTCTGCGAGTGAATCGCAGTGGATCTTCCTTCTCTGCTGTAGCCTCACTAACTGTTGTTGACCTAATAAGTCGAAATAACTGTTACTGTTACCAATCGCCGCCGCCTTTTTTCATCTCTAGCCTTCACTACCCACCACTGTTTGCGGTCGTTGCGTAAACTTTTTCTCAATGTACTTTTGAGTTGTGCTCACTCTTCATTGTACTCAGAGCCTGCAGGCAGGGATGCGTTCACGTGCATCCATTAGTTTGGAAGAAGGTGCTGATATCAAGTGGCTGTTTTCAGCCAGTCTTTCGGAGTCGGCTACGGTCTTGAGCACTGCTTTTACAGCAGACTGGAGATGGCACCAAGCTTCTTGTGGATGAGTGATAGATAGTCTTTTGTTCTTATAACTGTCACTGAACTGAACACGGCTTTGGTGTTTTTGTTGTCCAGCAGCATTTGCAGTGATTTTGTTACCAAACGTTTCCTACGTTCATTGAGACACAGGCATATACTTGGTTGGACCAACGCGTGATCGCTATCCAAACTCGTACTCCAGAAGGAGCGGAGTCTTCCACCGATCGTCTCCAGCCATGGCTGATAGCAATGAGGTCTATCTGTGTCGATCACTGAGTTGAGCTTGGTGGACGCGACGTTAGACAGTGCCTTTCTTTATGTCTGAAATTTGTGCTAGCTAAAAATAGACAGTTATCTGAGCATAGTTGTAGAAGGCGATCACCGTTACCTGTATGTTCAGCCTTGATTCCGAAAGTGCCACCTAAGTGCTTTTCTGCCTCACTAAGTCTACCCACCTGTACATTGAGTCACCTGTAACAACCACCACATCCGAATGTTTGGCTTTCAAGAGGAGGCTAAACAGTTTACGATAGAACTCGTCCTTCACTTCTTCCGAGCTGTAGTCAGTGGGTGGGTGGGCATAGATTACAAAGAGACAACGGCGAGTCTCCCTATTCCTTTTAGTTCCCACTGTGCCGTTCAGTCGGAGAGAGCAGAGGGGACTATCAACTGGGATCCAGTCTAGTAGTGAGTTTTCTGCTCTAGCGTTTAGTGTTATGCCTACACCTGCAAGGCCGCGAGAGCTAGCTATCGAATCTCCAGAAACTCGAAGGGTGAAGTTCGCGGATTCACCAGATTGGCTGGGAGAGATTAGGTGAATAACCGCACTTGGGTCCTGTATGCGTGTCTTGCAAACATAGCAACATCCACACCTCGAGTTGCTAGAATCTTTGCGAACGAAGCCTGTTGACCAATTTGATGGAGGATGCAGACATTGAATGCCCCGATGTGTAATTTGGAGCGTGGTTTAAGGAGACCAGTGATGCTGTTTTGTGGACTCAAATCGTTGTCGAAGGCTGGAGAGAGGTAGGTAGGTAGGTAGGGGAGATTGAGATGATGTAGTGTCGTTAATTGAGAGACGTGAAAGAGGGTTAGAAGGCAATGTTGGGGGAGGTGGATAGCAGTCTGAGGAAACTTGAGTGCTGACAGAGTTGTGAGGATGGTTGAGACTTCCCGGCTGCCCACACCGTGGAAGGCTATTTTTTCTTAAGGTACCTTAAGGAGATTTGTGTGACTGCAGATCTGTCACACGCAGCCTTTTGTGTATGATTGTTTTGAACTTTTGTATTTTTGGGGCGGAATGGTCGAAAAGAAACGAGAAATGAACCAACCCGCCGGCCCGGCAGACCGTGGTGTATGGTTGAGTGTGTTATTTTTGACACCGATCTTTTCTAACCTCCCCTTCCACTGGGTAGGCAACATCGGCATGGCACTGCTTGTCATTCAAGGGAACAGCCTTACTTCTGTCACACCCCATCCAGCCAGTAGCAGTACGACTTCGTCCTCAGACCCCCATCATAGTGTAGTAATTTACACTACAACGGTAACTGCTCTTTGTCTTATCACATCCAACAGACGTATCTGGTATGTTAGGACCTCGAGGGAACAAGTGTTCCACCTGTATAAGTCGTTGGGTCATTGTGATATGCAAACCCGACCATCACATCAAGGTTGCAGCTATCTGTCGGATGTCCACTGAACTCTACTGTTATGCAAAAATACTTCAAGAGAACGAAAACTTCTGTAGTACGAGAGACTGGGAAGTACTCATTGCCATTATGCTTTCAACAGAAAACAATAAGTGTGATTACTGCCAACCGTCTTCATTTGTCTCTTCATTTTCATTACCTGTTCTCGTACCGAAAAAAGGAAAACAAGTAACTCAGCAACCACGTGCATATTCCTGGATCAGGCAATAAACCACGCTTATTGTATGGGGTTATCGATATTACTTGACTGCCTAAACCTGAATGGGTTGGGTAGGATCTGAACCCCTGACCTGTTACTTGAAAGCTGAATAGACCGGTGAACCAAAGCCACTAAACAGCTTCATCAAGTGAATAATCCGCTAAATTATCGATACGAAGTAGATCAGAAAGGTATCTGCAAAATCCTGAAACGAAGAACCAACAATATTGACCGCCTCCTACAATTGTGTTCTGTCAATCCTTTTTGCGTAGATAGTAGCAAAAACTTTCTCACATAACAGCCACTAATGTCAACCAATCAACGGACGGAGACAAACCATATTACTATGGACGATTGCTGGAGAGGATCAGCTGAGAATTGATGGTTGTAAGATGTTTTACCTCGGCTGGAAGGTGAGAAAGTTATGTTGACTTCATTAGTCAATAATAAGCATTTTTAATACTTCGTTGAGGTAAATAGTGCAAATTACTCATTTTATTTGGGGGTGTCTGCTTCAATGCAATCCCCAAACGCCTTGTCCATCTAGATATGATGCCTCTAATTTGACGTAAAT